ATGGATGTTGCGGTGCTGTGCAGTGGCAGTGTAGGGATGCATGAATACACCAACTACTACAGCCATTCTTGAACAGCATTTATCTTTGCATTTACATAGCAGCCATTTATTTTTATGTAGTTACTATCTCATCAGTTTCTTGTAAGATAAGTGATACATTGCTTGTTAAAACTTCCAATGGAATTTTTATTTTAAGTATGTTCAGACATATTTTCTTAGAAATATTTTTCATAATCTCAAATTCATTATCATATGAAGATTTTATTGGGTACTTGAGAGTAGTAATATTGGATTTGTTTTTGTGGTGGTTGAAACTTACGTTAAAGCAATCATTCTCAACTCAAATGATCAGATATCAAAGAATAGATAACAAATGCTTTATTTAAATGCTTTGATGAGATTGTATGGAAAAGAGGACTGTGGCACTTAAATTCAACACATCAATACTTCAGTTTTTTTCCTGTGATCCCAAAGGAAAAGATTAGGCTTGAAGACAGTAGATGATGTTTTCTCATTAGGTGGAAATTGATCTTATGACTTCAACTACTAGAACAGATTGTTACTTTGGCAGTTCATGAAACTCCTCAATAAATAGAAATTAGATTCTTTCTTTTGCGTTGTGTAGGTAATTGTTTTTTTTAAACCTATAGAATTTTCTCCTACTTTTGAAGATAATGTAATTGACTTCCAATTCAGATTTATAAAATTGTTTGCTGTTTTTAAAGCTTCCCTCTCTCCCACTCCCAGTGGATTGAGTGACACATTAGGAAGATAAGAAAGAAATCCAATTTTAAGTAAGTGGAGAAAATCGTATTTGCATAGAAAATAATAAAACATATTTTTCATTATCTTTGTTCTGCAGCTGTAGTGCTCTGTGTTGCACAAAAGGCATGTATTTAGTGAATGTGATGTTCCTGAAAAGAAAATGTATTTATGCTGAAATAATAGTGATATTTCATGGTATATGTATTTAAGTAGGAAAAATCTGTAAATGGTATTCGTAAGTTCTGTGTTTACCTTATGTTCCTAAGGCAATAGCCACACAAAAGTGGTGTTTAAATAGTATTTCAGTAGAAGTCAGTGTTATTCTATAGTGTTTTTCAACTGTATATTTCATTTTTGTACTGATAGGTACTGTGATAAACTCCATGAATGTTTTACACTTTCACTGAAGAGGTAGTGCTGGCCATGCAGTCTTGTGTTGGCACATTTAGGCATACATGGGCAAGGTGAAACATAGATAAAGGAACACATCCAGATTAAAAGCTAGCCTGGCTAAAAATAAAAGCAAGTTTTAACCTGGATGTATTCCCTCATCTGGCTCATGGTGCAGCCATGTGAAAACTGGTGCCAGAGGCAATGACAGCTGAAGAGTAAACAGTGAGGGGTGGCCAGGAGTGCCTTGTCTGTGGCAATGTTGACTGATGTCACTTCAATGCGTGTGTGCCTCGTGCATGATGATGTTGATCATCATATATGGATATATCATGATGATATTGATGTGTTCTTTGAAGAAAACATGATGCTTTCAAGCTTCTGAGTTCAGGTGAGTCTTCTTAGAATGCAGCCTTCCTCTGTGCCAGAACAAGACCTGGGTACATGGTGTATGTCTTCTCTATCTCACCTTTCCTGTTGTTCAGTGTAGACCAGCAATGAAGTACTGGAGCTGTCAGGGTTATTCTTTCAATCACTGATCTGGTTAACAAAGCTTTTGCTTGTCCTCGCTTCGATACATTCACTGTCATCTTGAATGTCTTTTATATTTGCTATCTGAATTCTGCAGTTCCTTGTCTCCAGATACGAAAAATCTCAGGGATCAATTGGCTTGCGAGGTAATTTGTGTGTCTTATTCACTATTTGCCACTAGGGGACACTGCTGACCACTGCATGTCTGTGCAAGAATGGTCGCTGTAATAAAAGTCTTAAATGTTTTTCATTTTCTGACTCGAGGCACTGTTTCCGAAATTCTGATCCCTTCCCTGATCAAAGAATACTTAATCAATTGTTTATGTTTAAGCACTTCTGGATTCAAATTGTTTCCTCCAGTGATTTACCGAATCAGAAGCTTGCTGAGGTTACAATTCTATTACAGTGTCTATTATTAATGCTTAAGAATAATATACTGAATTGTTCATACTCTCATTAGACCTCATTCAAATACCATTAATCTTTTCTGAGCAGAAGTTATAATGACCAATGAGAATTGAGTGTCTCCATTATTTAATGAATTGAAGGTAATTTGGATACAAGTGGACATCATTCTTCTGTAGTGTACTAGGAAAAGTTGACAACTGGTTAGGCACAGATTGGGTGACTGGATGTGGTCTGTAAGAAGTAATTGTAATAAGTTGCCCCAAAATGATAATACACATTGGAAAAATGTAATTGCCCCCTGCTCCGTCTTCCCCCCCCTCCCTTCCCCCCCTTCCTCCCAGATATATGCTTTAAAGTTATGAACTTGATGTAAGCTAGTTTAGCTAGTAAACTTTAGCAGCAACTCTCTTCTAAATGCTTGTCCAGTCTGTCCTTGACGCAGTGTAAACCTTTGCATCCAGGACATCCTTGGTCAGGAGAGCATCCTTGCCAAGGAGATCTGATACTTTTTGCACAAAGTTCTCTCTTGTTTGTTTAGAACATGGCTTCTTTCAAGCTGCCTTTGATAAAACTCAGCTCTTATATTCAGAGAGTCTGTAGACTCTTCATATCTACCCTGTATCACTTATTTTATGAGATATTTATCATTCATTTCCAGATGTTCTTTTTTTTTTTTTTTTTTGAAATGTAAAAGTCTTAGCCAACTCTGTAGTTCCAGTTACAGAAGCCATTCAATTCCTTTGAACATCCTTATTACTCTCGTGTAAACAGTTTCCAGTTCTAATCTATCTTTTTTTTGAGTAGGGTGTGCAGTTTTCTTAAGTACAGGCAAACCACTGATTTATACAGGGAGGTAACAGTGTTCCCTGTTCTTAATGTGATTTGGTTTTTTGACCATTGATGAGCGCTGATGTGGTGTTTTCATGAGTACCCAAAATGAGTCGTTGCTACTGACTAGTGATGGTTAGTTAAGAGATTATCTTCTTTTCAATCTAAAACATAGCTTACTTTTATCTATGCTGAATTTCATGTGTAATTTCATTGCTCAGTTATGTAGTCAGACAAGAACTTGTTCTGTGGTTCTGCAAGGGTTGATCTTACTCTTTCTGCTCTCCAGTAACTGCCTTTATCAGCAAACTTTCTTCACTGCTCATCCTCCTTCAGGATCATTAACGTATATGTTGAATACCTTGGGTGGTAGAAAGCCTTGTGGGACTCCACAGGCGACCTCCCTCCCTTTAAGCAGCAGCCATTTACTCTGTCTGCTGTTTCTTACTGTATTTTCTAATCAGTTATTTAGCCATGCAAAGGCCTTCATTCTCTTGCTACAAAAGTCAAGTTTCCTTGAAAAGTCTTTAGGGAGAGAATTCTGTTTAAAATCCAGTGAACATCCATGTCAATGTATCAGTTGTATCAGCCCATCTTGATTTATTCAAAGAACTTTAGTAGGTTTGGAGGACAGGCCTTCTTTTTATGAAAGCTATACTGATTTTAAGAGTAGATGGCAATTATATGTGTTGACTAATTCTGTCCATTTGTATAGTTTTTGTTGATTTTTCTGGTAGAAACAGAAGTGGAGCAGGTCAGTAGTTTTCCACATTTTCCCTGGAACCTTTTTACAAAGTTGGTGCCATGTGTGACATGTGGGATGCAGACTAGTTTTGAGGTTTTTTTTATGTGCTTTTCTTGGTGGTGTGTTTAATTTTTACTTTTTTATAAAGTACTGAGCTTCCAAAGATGGTTATGCCCACACTGTCTCCAACAGCTTTGGTGTTTAGTGATGTCCAGCAGGTTGAGGGAAGTTAGGCAGGCGGAGAGGGACGTAACATTATGTTTTAGTATCAGCATCAGATTACAGAAATAATTTAGCTGTTGTACAACATCTGTAGGCAATCACTGATGACAAGAATTTCAGTTCCACGATTTATAATGCTTGAAGTGGAACACATTGGTGTCCTAAAAATTCAGTGTTTCCTGTCTAGAAATAAAACCAGTTAATAATGATACACAGTTACTGACAAGAGGCAAATAGTGCGTATGCTGTCTTTTTTGTTTGTTTGTTTAAGTAATGTTCTGAGCATGTTCAGGGTTTACATAATAAGATTTTCAAGTTCTTCCAACATCTAGAGTATAAACGAGATGAAGAGACCATGTTTTAATTATTACAGAGCAAATGAACAATAAATAATTCTGCTGTTCGTGATTTTAATAGTACTATAACTTAAAAGTGATGCATTTTGCTGACTTTTGCTTATGTAGGAAAAAACATATTGGCTAAAATAAATTCAAAAATAATCTATAGCTGGGGGTTTTGGTGGCTTTGTAGAATGATTTATAAAATTTTACAAAATTTAAATATTTAAATCTTTTTCTAAAGCACTTCACAGTCTATTGTACTCATGAAAGGCAATGCAGAATGGTATTGGCAAAGGACAAATTTTTATTCCTGAGATTTAATAGGGTATAATCTATATTCTAACTGAATTTCCTGTAATGTTATTTGCTTTGGTATAAGCTATACTGTATTTGAAGTAACCACAGTAAGTTTTTCTCCAGAGGTAACATGCAGTGTATATTGTGCTGTACATTTTAGACCTGTATAGCATCTAAAAATGTGATGCATTATGCTTTTCTTTCAATTTGTGACTCATACAATATGTGTCCTGAGAAAAAAAAGCAGAAATGAATCATTATTATTTGAGCTAATCCAACGCTTTCAATTTGACTGACATCCCCTGTTGTCAATTTATTTCACTGAGCATCTGTTAAACATAAAAGCGTATACTGTATTTTATCAGAATGAGCAATCCTGACATCTGTAATTAAGCCTCCCCTGTTTCTGCTTTAGTGGCTTTAACATCCCTGTCTAACAGATTGTACAAATTGCACATTTGTTTACAAAACAGGTCCAGATTGTTCTTTGAACGTCCCTTCTACGGAGTCTTACTGGATTCTACCAAATGTTAAACCATTCAGCCCTTCCGTGGGCCGGGCTTCCCACAAGGCCGTCCTGCACGGGAAATTTATGTGGGTGATTGGTGGATACACTTTTAACTACAGTTCATTCCAAATGGTGTTGAAGTAAGTGATTTATCCTTTGTCGTATCCTTTCTGATGTAGCTTAGGGAAAACGGATCTTACCAGGGAGGTAGTCTCTACATTGCAACTTCATGGAAAGATTTAAGTTTTTAGATTCTCTTTATTAATGGTCTTATTTTCTGCTTGTAATTTTTTTATGATTAACAGAGGTGAAAATACAGGTACCATCAATCTGTATGTGATACTGATATGTAATTTCTTCAGTTTTCTGAAAACTGTTGCTATACTTTGCTGCAAAACATAAAAATGGGGTGATAAAGCAGAGAAATCCATGTGCTAATATTTTCATACAGTACATGTAGAATCTTATCTGCATTATTGAAGATAATTTATAATTATAGGAGACTTGTATTTAATGCATGAATACCTTGGGAATCAGGAATTTACTCTTTTGGTAGAGGTAGCCCGTGGTGCCGTGCCAGTATGGGTTAGGCAGGTCATCCATATTTCACTTCTTTATGACAGTTTGGATGTATGTGCACTTGATAACCTATTGAAAACGTAATTGAAGCTGCTATAAATATTACCTAGCTGATTTGTATGGTAACTTGTCTATATATAAAGGCCCTAAATGTGGCAAATGTAAGTGTTAGGATATGTTATCATGTTTCTTTCTTCTATTTTTGTCTGACTTTTTATTTTCTTTCACATGTTTGCAATTATCCAAAACAAATCCCATCATCTGTGGTGTTTTTCTTTTCTATCTCTGTTAATTATTTTTTTTTATCCCTCTTTCATCTTATGGTGTGTTAATGCATTAATGGATTAATAATTAATTAAAATTTAACAGAAATTAAAATCAGCCCTATAGCAAAAAAAAGTGCTCAGTATTAACTCTTCTGAACAGTGAAAATGATTGTGACAGAAGCAGTTGAATGGGGTGGTTTTTTTACGAGGCTAATAACAGTGACCGTAGCAACGTTTCATAACTTCCTAATAAGTTTGGTGATTTCATTACAGCTCCATTTTCTGACATTGTTGATGTGTCCCTGAAAGAGCTGCTCCTGTTTTGCTTGATGAACATTTGTACACTGTTGTAACAGTTCAAAATGATCATGTTACTGCTGCTAACAAATTACCATGTCAGATAACTAGTGACTGATCAAGTCTGCCAAACAGATGTCAGTTTGAACATATAAAACCCTCTATTTCTCTGCAGGTAGAAAATGTTTACCTTTCTATTTCTCTTTTAGCTACAATCTGGAAAGCAGTATATGGAACGTAGTACCTGTGTCCAAAGGGCCACTCCAGAGATACGGACACACTCTTGCTTTATATCAGGTTTGAATTCTTCAGCATCCTATTTCATGAATTCCTTTGTGTGTGCTGTTAGTGATCTTAAAATGATTCATCATGAACACAGGTTTTTTTTTTGAGGATAATTTAATTTCTAGTCCCTAAACATCTTGTATTAGTGTCTTAGTCAGTACTTAGATGTATTGAACAATTTTTGGAAAAGTGATTGTGCAGTAGATCTAAGTCACTTACTAGCTGACCATAAATCCTCAGAGCTAAACCTCCCAATAAAAAGGGACTAATATAATTGGGGTTGCACTAAGGGGAGGAGAGCTGGGGAACCAAGTCAGTGCCCTTGCTGACTGGGCACCATCCCCAGGGGCTAAGCGTAGCAGGCAGAGCCAGGGGTTTGTAGCAGGTTCCTTTGACAGCCCCAGACATGGCAAGAGATGACCCAGGTCCAGGAACTATTCAGGGAGTTCAGTCAGGGGCACAGGGAGAACATGGCCTGAGACAGGACTGGAGAGAAGGCTACAACACACATGTGAGGGCTCCATCCAGGAGACAAGCTATGACAGCTCCATCCAGGAGGCAGGATCACAAGCAGTCAGGGACTGAGGGTCCTCTGTGGGAGGCTGGTCAGGACCACTAAGGCCTGCTAATGCTGTAAGGGCTGTGTCAGTAAGAAATAAATCTTTATATGTTTTTACTTTTATTACTGAACCAGAGCAGTATTAAAATACAAACTGTTGTTCTATGGTATCATTATACTTTAAGTTCAAATACATACGAACTACTGGCAGTTTTGCTCCTACTGATATCATGTGTTCTGCATGCTGTTTATTGAAAGCAGTGTTAGAGGCTTATTTCACTATATTTAAAAGAAAAAAATACAAAAAGATTCTCTGTATTGATAGCATATAAAGACAAAAATGATCTTTATTTAACAAAGGCTTTTGTTTCCTGGTTAATTTTTGGCTAGTATGAGTTATGTCTCCAAAATACAAAGGACCAAAAGTGAATGCAGTGTGTAATATAGCCATGTACAGATGTTGGCAAACTTGTTAACAGTGACAGAGAACTACAAAATTTGTATCACATTTCCAGTTGTTTGTGTAAGGTACATCCGTCAGGGAAGAACATAAAAGATTGTATGAAGTCTGACCAGAGTGTTCATCTGGCCGGGTAACATGTCTTGTATAATGGGTAACAGTAAATTC